AAGGAAGGAAGGAAGGAAGGAAGGAAGGAAGGAAGGAAGGAAGGAAGAAAGAAAGAAAGAAAGAAAGAAAGAAAGAAAGAAAGAAAGAAAGAAAGAGAAAGAAAGAAAAAGAAAGAAGAAGAGAGAATAGAATAGTAAATAGAATAGAGGATAGAGAATACAGAATACAGAATCAGAAGATAATAGGGAAGATAATAGAGAGAATAGAGAATGGAATAGAATAGAGAAGAGAAGGGAGTGAATAGAGAAGAGAATAAAATAGAAAATAGAATAGGGAAAGGAGAATGGTGAATAGAGAATACAGAATAAAGAAAAAATAGAATAGGGAAGAGAAGAGAGAAGAGAAGAAAAAAAGAGAGAATACAACAGAGAATAGAAGACAGAAGAGAGAAGAGAAGAGAATATAGAATAGAATAGAATAGAATAGAATAGAATAGAATAGAATAGAATAGAATAGAATAAGAATAGAATAGAATAGAATTCTCTATTGGCCAAGTGTGATTGGACACACAGCTTCTGGGATGAGACGCAAAACATCTTCAAAGGAAAATCAAGGAAGTCCAGTTGCCTCCCCCCAAAAAGCACCTTTGGGTCTGCCGAAAGGACTGTATGGTAGACAGGAGATTGTGTTCTGACCTCGGCTTCCCCAAAAAGCACTAAGGAGACCCTTTGTTCTGGCAAAACCCCTTTTATGAAACGAAGGTGAACTTATTGTGTTCACGTTCAGCCCAAGGCCTGGCAAACAATCTTTCAAGGGTCTAATGAAGAGCCCAGGCCTCACCTACCTTGGAGAGCTGCCAAGTAAATATTTCCAAACACAGCACTGACAAGGAAGGTCTCAGCACAGAGTCTCTGAGGTGTACAGACAGATACTCACACCTCTGCAACAAACGAATTGTTTCCTGCAAAAGCCCCCTCCCCTTTTGCTCCTCTTTTAATCTCTATGGGAGGGGCCTTAATCCCACATCAACCCTGAGTTTTTAATTGTTCTTTTCTTTTGGCAGCTCTGCGCATGTGCAGGTTGGGAAGACTCCACTTGTTCTTCAGCCCTACTGATCTCCGACTCCCAAGGCAGCTGATGACTGCCAGCCTACCCTGGCCCCCATCTCTGCCTCTGATGCAGAGCCCTCACCTGAGCCTTCCTCAGCCTCCAGGACTGGCCCAGGTTCCTCCCAAAACATCCTCATTGTCTGACTCTGCACCTACATCTTGTGAAGGCAAGCTCTTCTACTCATTACTTGTCCTCACGGTTAGGAAGTTTCTCCTTAATCACACATATAAAATTAACATTACTTTATAATTATATATATTTATTTATTTTATAATTGGACTTAAAATTCTACATTTCATTCAGTTTGATTATCTGAATATTGAGCCAGCACCGTCCGAAGGAATTTCTGCAGTCACCTGGCTAGCATGACCTCGCAGAATGTTGTTCCCTTCCAACCAAAGTGATATCTATTTATCTACTTCCATTTCCAGTGCTTTCAAACTGCTAGGTTGGCAGGAGCTGAGCTCAGGATGGGAGCTCATGCGGTCACATTGTGTTTGGGTCTCAAACCTTTCTAGCTGACAAGCCCAATATCTTAACCACTGAGCCACCATGCCGATGAGATAATTGCCCTATGTAATCCATGCCCTTCATCCTCCTGCCAGGCAGAAAGATTGATCGGTATGGTAAACGTGGACCTGAAACAGGCCTCATCCGGAATGCCACCAGTCAGTCCAAAGAGGTGAGAACATCACAGAGGAGACAGGAGTGCAGCTAAGTGGGCTTTTTGGGGTGGGGGGATTGAGAACCTGGCCTGCAAGGGCAGAGCCTGCATATCATTTGGAAATAAGCACTGGGTTTTCTTCTGGCAAGCCTAAGAGAGGTTTAAAGGGGGTTTGTGAAATTGAGCTTTGTCTGTCTGTTCAGCTTGTCCGTCGAGGCTTCCCACTTTTTTCAAAAAAAGAGTGTTAAGTAAGAAGAAGGCTGCTAGGTGGAGAATGAGCTGCAGGTAGCACTTCAAGGGAAATCCCCTGCTTGGGTTCTCTGGGATGCTGTCTGCGGTCTGAAAAGGAACAGGAGGAATGTTAGGATCTCAGACACCTAAAGAGGGGAGAGGATTTTGTTGGTAGCTTGTCCAAGAATGGAAGCCTTGTTCAGAGAAGCCAGGAGGGGAGATTCCAATCTTTCCTGATCTTAACAATGAATAATCTCCTCCTCCTCCTCTTCCTCCTCGATCTTCCTTCTTGTCTTCTTCTTCTCCTTCTCCTTCTACTCCTCCTCCTTCTCTTCTCCTCCTTCTTTCTCATCTCTTCTTCCTGCCTTCTTTCCTCCCTCCCCGCTTTCCTTCCTCCTCCACCACTATCCTTCTCTTCCTCTTCCTTAGATTTAATAAAACAGGAGGTCCCTAGTCCAGTTGCCAAGATTCTGTGTGTGCCCCTAATTCTCAAATTACAGTCTTGATTGATGTCAATCTAATCCTTGTCTGATCATGCCGGCTCTTCTAAGAGGATTTGGTTCTCTCCTTGACTCTCGCAAACTCTGGTTCATGCTCTGCCCCTCTTTAATTTTCCCCCTTAAATCATTTTAAATAGGGAATATCTTTGATTTCTTCGGAACATTCCAGAAGCTCTGTTTCCTCTTCTAGGGGCACCACTAAGAGCTCTTGCCCA